GGGGTGGGGTGGGGTGGGGTGGGAACAGCTGCAGCTGGACCCACATCCTGATGAGTGCAGGGGGTGGGGGCAGGGGTAGCTCTGATTTTCCATGATTAAAAAAAAACCAAAATCAAATGCCAAAATATACAAGTATTTAGATTTTATTTCATTAATAGTGACTGAGGTGCTGGTAGGATTCCAAATTGCTTTAAAGTAAATATATCAATAAAACATTCTGTTCAAGCAACACCACACACACACGTTTCATTTAATCGTGGAAAAATGTGGATTTGGTGTGGCCTCACTTCTTCAGTATGTACCCCTTCTGAATTCTCTTCACCTGTTCCCACACCTCATCCCCGTGCCAGCGAGGACACTTAGCAATAACAAGCAGTATCTGCAAAGTGCCTACACTATTAAACACCACCAAGGCATAAGGCACCTGCCTAATAGAAGCTTGGGAGCTCCTTCAAGAGAGAGAAGTCCTGGCCATCTAGCACATAGTTAGCATATAAATCACTCTCCTACTTTGCCCTAACCTCTGAGGCCTTCTTCAGCAGTGCCTGGCTTAGGGAAGTCCCACATTGGTCAGAATATGTTACTGAACTCCTGCAGAGGAAACAGAATTGCCCACACCAGCTCTAAATTAAGGATTCAGATCAATCTGTTTGGATTATCACAAAATGGTGAGGGGGTTGGGAATATTAAACAATGCTTTTTGGTCTTCTCCTTGGTCCAGCCCAATATGAGTCTGTGATAATTGTCATATACTTACATGGCAGGATAGGCCAGAGGTAAGAATCTGAGAACATACCAGAACATGATGTAATCCAGTAGTCAAAATCTTGGCACAACCAAAATGAGTCACTGCTTCACCACATGATCTCTGACCAATTCAGATCAGCCTAATTTGAAAGCCAGGTGTGATCTCAGGAAAGAGTTCTTGCAGGAAGATATTAGACGCACACAGTACATTAGCATCAGCAACACAATTAGCAATTTATTAACCACCATCATTTGAAGATGTCTTCACCGTGGGGTTTGCAGGTTAAACATATTTAGAGTTCAGTCCTCAGGAGACTCCTGATCAAGTGTGCACAAATGTAATCTCCATGGGGATCCTTGTGACATTCCCAGTCACAAGACTGCCATGCACTAAGTGTTCTGTATAGGGGTTACACACATCTGCCAGTCAAGGGCACAATTCCCTAAGTTTATCTATTACTGCCAGTTGTTATGCCTGAAAAGCATTCAGTTAGGCTTCCTTGCTCATGTTAACAAAGCTGCCTGCCCTACTGCTCCTCGTGTGACCTCACTGGGATGAAGAAATCCTGCAACACACAAAACTGGCTATGAGGCAGTGTGAAGGAATGTTTCCAATGCTTCACCCTAAAAACATAAGTAACAAGACCTGCAAGAGAGAAAGGAGCCCAGGCCTGGGGTTTCTTCCCATGGGGAAGGCTGCTGGACAAGCTTGGGCAAGTCACTTCACTGCTCTGTGCTGTACTTCCCTGTCTGTGAAATAGGGATGATGCCACTTACCTCCTTTGAGATCTATGGATGAGGACTTAGTTATTGCTGAGAAGCAAGGGGTTTGCTGAACAGCAGCAGAAGCAAGTTATCTCCAACTCCATGAGAAAAGGGATCTGTACCACTCCCTGCATGCATGCTTCAAAACTGAAGGCACTTAGAAGGCACATTGCAGAGACAGCACCACACAGGCAGCCTGGCTTTTCCAGGCGAGTTAAAAAGTTTTCAGAAGACTGTACAGATTCCCCAGTTGTCAGGAATTTCAGAAGGGGGGTGGCACAGTACCACCAATGCTACTGTACAGATCCAGCCCAGAGACCCTGTACTGTAAGAGGAAGGGAGGAGGGAGCCATCTTTCCCAACTTGCTTAGTCCAAAATGTGGGCACATCTGCGTTTGAAGGAGCTGTGAAGCACTTCTGCCTGTCCTGATACTTTTACTTGAAAGATGCAGCCTTGAATAGAAGAATTCCTGGAACAAAATTAAAGAATGACCCGTACCACCAATTAGCAGGGGATCTGACTGTGAAGAAGCCAAAGCCACACACAGGTAGGTACCAATCTAGGACTACAAGAAAAATTAGTTTGTGGAATTCACCAGTAGAAGAGCACTCCAGGGCCTAACCACCTCCTATATTTACACCTGTAGGCATCTAGGCTGTCACTGCTGAGATGGGACATTTGCTGAGGGCCCAAGCTCAGGTGCAGGAAACCCCCTGGTTCAGCTTTCCTCCAGCCAGAACCGTCTCTGTACCATCCAGGGATCCAGGCTTCAACTTGCCAGCCAGAGAGCTGTTGGGGTGCAGGCGTGAGAAGCGCCCCAATGTCCAGATGGGGAAGACGTTTCGGTAGGAGGTGTAGCTGATGGCACAGGACTTGTTGAACACACCAGCGATGTTCTCCTGAACAGGGATGGAGACAGAAAGGAAACAAGCTCAGCAGGAAGATCTCAGGAAGAGGCCAGCATTCCTGCCAGCAGCACACTGGTAAGTCTTTCCATGCTGAAGCCACTGTGCACATTCATTCACAGCTACGCCATGGCTTATTCTGTGGCGTGCATGCGCACATCAGGGCTCAGGACTAACAGAACTGCATTTTTCACCCCCTAGCAGGCAAACATGCCCCTCATCTTCATGGTCACTCACATCAGAGTCATTACTCTTAATACAATCTCAGCCAACTCTGCTCTGAGCAGGCGGCACACACGGGATCACCCACCCATCTAAAAAGCAGAGCCACAGCTTTCATCCTTGGGAATCTCCAATATGGAGTCTGCCCTGGATCCTAAAAAAGATGTTTCTGTCAGAGGCTGAAAATTCCAAGAGAAGCAGGAGGGGAAAGCTTCCTCTTCACGGGCTGCCTTGACAGGATACTGATCCATGCAATTGCTCAAATCCCAGGCAGAGATGGGCTGTGCCACAGCCCTGGGCACAGCTCTGCATGATGCCAAGCCACAGAAGATTGCTAGCACCTGCCTCCGCGACAATGCTGGGGAGACACAAGGCCCTGCAACCAACCTTAGAGCTGAGCTGCACCCAGCTAGGAGGAGGTACCACCCAGCAAAGGCGTTGGGCCTAACAATTACAGAAGCACTATTTGTTTACATAAAGGGCAGCAGAGAAAGCTGAATATATGTAGGGAGAAGGCAGTGCTGTTGGGAGGACTAAGACAGAGACCTGTCTCCTTCAGAACATGCTCTCCATCACAGGCCTCCATCATCATGCAGTGCCTTAGGCTACCACGTGGCCTTGGACTCTCTTGGGTCCCTTTCTGCTACCTAACACTCAGATAACCACAGCAAGAGAACCACTCCTGGTACATACATTACAGCTGGTCCACTCAGCAGCATAGCACCCCACATCCCACACTGGCTCCCCACTCCACAAAGGTCCAGGTGAAGATCTCCATCGCCCTGCTCAGAACTGGCTTGGCAAAGGCTCTGCTCTCAAGATCCACTCTTTTGGCAGCCATAACTCTTCACAGCTACCACACCCCAACAATTACTTAATGTGGGTAGCTGTTAAACACAGGAAAAGCAGAACATGTCCAGGTGCTGGTTCTTGAACTGTGGGACTTATTGCCACAAGTATGGAGATTGAAGATACCACATGCCTCCACAGGTTTCCACCCACACAGCTGGGCTTCTGCTCCTACACGCCAAGAAAACCAGACACACAGAGCATGTGTGTGACCCATTTCTGTATTCAGTTCTCTGAGAACTTCTACAGTGCTGAGGAATGGATGCATTAGACAGGTGAGAGGAGCTGCATACCTGAGGCCAGTCACCATTGGGCAGCTGCTTGTCCATCAAAAGCTTGATGCCCTTCTCCAGCACCTCAACATCAGGATACCTGCAAAGCACAAGCAAAGAGGTGAACAGTCCTGACTCCAGGGAGCTAAACAAACAAACCACCCCCACATGTCCTCTGGGAACTCACATCCCCTCTACAACCATTTCTACACATCTGACACTTTGTCCCAGGCTTGAAGGGACAGAAACAACCCACCACAGTGAAGCTATGCAAAAAACATATCTGCTACAATGAGATCATCCTACACTACTCATCACAGGTGTCCCAAGACCATGAATATTGCAGTTGCCCTCCACAACAGGTAGTGGCCAAGGCTCTGCTGTCTGAGGCTGGAGAGGACAATGCTCTCAAGCAATGCGAGTGCTAGGTATCAGCAGCCTGCACAGCTATGGTGGCTCCTACCTGACGGCCATGAGTCCCAGCAGGGCCCAGCAGGTGTTGTGGATCTGGGATGTGGCACTCTGCACATATCTACGCTGCTCACAGGACTCAAAGTCCTCTCCCCAGCCACCATCCTCCATCTGCTTGGAGACCAGGAACTGGCAGGCCTGGGCCACCTCCTTGCACGCAGTTCTAAAGGGATAAAACAGAGGCACAAGTGTCACTATCAACAAAACCTACAGCAGGGTACCTCAGACCTGTAGGGACCACAGGGGACAGGGGCTCAGAGAAGGGAGGGTGACAGGGAACACTGTTCAGCTTGGGGTGGTTTTATCTGCAGGGTTTGGTTGATGGCTAATGCCAAGCACAAAGCTCAAGTGGGAAACACAGGATTTGTGGCACCCCCAGAATGGGAAAGATCCGCAGTATGCTTCCTGCCCCCTGCTAGTCCAGGCCAGCTCACAGGGGACAGGGACAGGGGTGGGAGCAGGCCTGAGTACTGCCCTCTCCCTGTGCGGCTGTGTGCTGAGGAAGCACTGGCTGGACTCTGGTCGGGGAAAGTAGAACAAGTACATTCCTCTCTGGGCTGGAACCTGAAGCACCAGAAACAGAGTTCAGTGAACCAGCCTGGCCTTCAGCCTGGCTGCAGTATGTGAGCAGCAACCCACAGGCTGGGGACAGCTTTCCTTAGTGGGCCCACAGCACAGCTCAGGATGCCAGCGTACACCTTGCAGGCAGGGACCAGGCTACCAAGCAGGGCCCCAACATTCAAAAGCCTAAGTTACTAAGTGGCAGTGAGTCTCTGCCCTCAGGATGGCATGAAGGCAGAGAGGGTTTCTGTAACCTGAAAGCCTCTTGGGCAGACTGGGAAGGGCTACGATCCAGATTTCACCAAGCTCCTCACCCTGCCCCCATCATGCAGCAGCATATTCCAGCCCCTGCTGCGCTCAAGGGACCCCAGTGGCATCCCTGGGCGGTGCCCTGGCCAGGAGCTAGATCCTCAGCCTGTCACACCCTGAACACAGATTGCAAAGCCTTGGCTGGGTCTCCTCACTCACCTGTCATGGTACATGTGCTGCATGCAGGCCAACGCCTCCAGACCAAACCAGGTGCCATATGTGAAACAGACCCCCCAGCTCCTGGCAGTGGAAGGGAGATCACCAATCAGGCGAGCAGAATTCCTGGCTGGGGCAGCACCTACCCCAATGCCCATGGAGCAGAATGGCACTGCTGGGCACCAGGGCGAGTGCTGCTGTGGCATATCACACTTTGGGTTATGCAGAGAGCTTACCCCAAGCTGTGGTAGGCACAAGTTGGGGTTAATCACACCATGCCCCATAACCATCCTCCCTCCCCCTACCTTCTCTTTTGTTTCAGCAGACTGTGGGACCTGAAGGTTCAAGTGACTCCAGGTACATTCCCACCAGGCCCAATATAACAGGGCTCAGCCTGAGCTGGGGCCCCTTTGCATGGCTATCACACCAAGAGAAATAACCAAGGCTGCTGGTGGTTCCAGGAACTGCAGGAAGAGGCCAGCTCTGCCACCGGGAGCCTGGGAGTGGGGGCACTGCTCACTGCCCCAGACTGCACCTGCCCCAAGGGCTGCTGGGAGCAAGCCTCTCCCCTTGAACAAGGAGGTGATACCACGTGCATGCAGTCACTCACCCTTCCCACGACCCGTCAGACCTCTGCATCCGGCGACAATACTCCAGCCCTTTCCACAGCGTCTCTCTAGGCAGAGGGAGGAGAGGGATTGATTTACTGTCCATCTACTCCCTACTCTGGACAGCCCACTGCAGGGTTACCTGGAAATTCCCATCCCCTCTGGGAGTGGAGTGGAGCCTGCCCTTATTAACAGGGTTCCTTGCCAGCTGTCAGGTGCAAAATGGCCCAGACAGACCTTTCCCATCTACTTCTGAGCTTCCAGACCAGCAGAGGGTCAAGGTCTGTGCCCCTGGGGCTCAAATGGAGATGGTCCCTTCCCACACCTCACCCAACAGTATCAGTACTCCAGAGCTTTCAGCCCAAGTCTCCTAAGGGGAAGTCATGTCACTATACTTTAGTGCCAGGGTCAAGCTGTCTGGGTCAGAGTGAGAGCATGACCTCAGCCTCTGCATCCAGAAACAGCTGGGCTGAGAGGACCGCTTCCTGTTCCTGCCAACATTCCCTCCCACATACTAGACAAACACCGTCCACTTCATACCCACAAGAGCTCTGCTTTGTGGCTCAGCAGGACCAGCTATGGTTTGTGGTCATAAAACATTCTCTTCCAGAGAGAGTGCATCCAATGCTGGTGTCACAGGGTAGCAAGGGGTGCCCCCCATTCCTCCCCACCCTACAGTACCTGTGCAACACTACCAAGGAGTAGATACCCACCTGGCAGACAAAGGCCTCTGCAGCAGGCAAGGGACCATTGACCTGTTGTGGCTCAACAAAGCCCATCCCCACATCAGGGCTAAACTTCTGCCTTGAGGACCCTGCTCCAGCACCTGGATTGCTAGGGTCTTTCCAGAGAGCAGGCTGCAGGACCAGGGCCCCCGTCCAGTGCATGTTAGCAGGTGTCACTGCACCTGAACTGCAGGTTTCATCATGCCTAGTTTGAAGCTCTCCCCCAAATGACCCCTCCTGGATCTGCCCTTACCTGATCTCCTGTGCCCTGTGTTCAGGGAACTCTTCATGGAAGTGTTTCAGCGCCTGCATGACTGCTGATGTGCACTCCACATAGGTGTAGTCTATCATAATGTCCCCTGCCAAAATGGAAGAGGAAACAGCTCTGAAACCCCAGACAACCTGCTGGAGACCCTGTCAAGCACTGACTGGGCCCCAAAACCCTGCCTGCATGGGACACACACACACAATGTGGTGTGCAGCAGGCACCATCCCCAGTGACAGACACTGGCCCCAAGACTGCATGCTCCATTATGCGTGAACCTGCCTTTGGGCACTGCTTCCCACAGAACTAGGCTGGCTTCCCCTCATGGCACAGGGCACCAGGAGGGAGACATGGAGACATTGCCCTTACCAAACACCTCTGAGGGGTTCAGCAGCTCCAGCAGCCGGCCACCCCGCTTGGTTTCATACGTGGCAAAGCCTCCATCAGAGTTTCTCATGCTCAGCAACTGCTCAGATAGAGAGAGAGGGAGACATGAGATCAGAACCAACTTTGTTCACCAGTGCTTAGCAGAGATTGTGGTTTCCACCATGGCCACTCCTCCTCAGAGATGACCATTTAGCAGCAGCCAGAAAAATGTTTATCCCTCTGCAAGCAGATGATTTATCTTACTGGCTTCTGCAGGAGAATTTTCTCCTTTATGAGCTCCTCAACCAGTTCTCCAAAGCAAAGCTGAGTTTCAGCAAACAAACAAATGAAACAAAACCCTCTTTCCTCTCCCAAACACTAGGACAAGAACCCCTTTCTGCTCTGCTCCCAGCACAGCAGTCTGGCTTCTCTGTGCAGCTAACTGTCCCCTTTAGAGTTTGCTTCCTCCTCCCTTTTGCCTTCTCTTCCGGGTGCTTCTAAAACCCCTAGTGCGACACTCTATCCTTAGCCAAATGCTCCACAGCTGGCTTCTCTTAACAGTCTGACTGTTCCTCTTTCAAAGGGTAATGTTACATGCCCTTCCCAGAGTGGCCACCTGGCCACCAAGCCTCCGTGAGCCAGCGAAGATGCTCACTTCTGCGCATCAGGCCCTCTGAGAGGATTTTTTTTTGTGCTCAAGTCAATGGTAAACAGATCTACTCTCCCTCCCGGATTTGGTCCTGCACTCTCTTGGATACAGCCCTACAGCTTCTTTGAAGTATTTCTTCTGGATCACATTTGGTGAGCCTCAGTTGATGTAATTTTCACATACAATGCTTGAATTTCCTTTGAACGGAGCGGTGTAGCCTCATGAGCAGATGCTGCTTCTTGAGCAGTGGCCAACGTTAAACTGTTCTTTGCAAGGAGTCTGTGTTGCAGGGCTTCATCTCAAAGCCCACACACCAGTCCACCAATCCCTCAGTAAATCCCATCATCAGGCAGCTGATTGCATTTCAGCCACCTACCGGTGGGAGTGCATAACACATGCCCGTAACCATGGGTAGGTAGCAAAGACGCTACCTCTGACTGTACATCTGCACTGGCTCTGCTCCCTGCACTCACACTGCCTTGTGAGTAGAAATCCAAAATGGTCCATCAGCTGCCTGCGGGGACTGAGAACAGGTCCACAGGCCATCAGCTACACAGGCATCTCCCAGTTCACTGCCTGTCAGGACTGATGGAGGAAGTTCACCACTTGCCCGTGCTCAGGAGCCCCTCAGGGCAGCATGTGCCGGTCGCCACCTGGAAATCAGAAGTGGCACCCACAGGCAGCGAGAAGCCCTGCACTGCTGGCCCTGCCTAGGCTCCTCCCTGGACTCCTGCCAGCAAAGTCCAACGCAAATTCATGTTTGAACTTAGCTCCATGCCCCAGGGCTCCAGTCACAGAGGGCATTTATACACATGCCCTGGGAATGGGAGTGGGAGTGCAAGCGTGAGCGGTGGGGAAGAGCTTTAATTAGAGCGGCTCTTGAGCATTTTGTGTATCAGCATCCCCATGCTGATGCTCATCGAAGGAGCTTTAGATACAAGAGTACTATGTATTGAGCATTCTGCATTTCTGCCAGTTGGTAGTGTGAATTCATACTGTGTTTATCTCCTGTTGCATCCTGTTGTTACACTGGAAAGGCATTCAGTTAATACGCTGTGGAAATGGCACCATTCCGTTTCGACTTGAGTTTCAAAGTTTCGACGGAACGGTGTTTCGTTTCAAATTTCATTTCAATTTGAAACAGCTGTTCCACTTTGTTTCATCGAAACAGTGACGCTGTTTCAACGTTTCACCCATACACTATAATGGGGAAGCTCAAAACAGCCTCTCTCATCGCAGCTGGGTTGAGTTCCTTTCCCCAGTCCGATCCTAGGGCTGAGCTGCCTTCCCCAGCCCGATCCTAAGGCTGGGGAGGGGAACTGAGCGATTGGGCTGAGTTGCCTTCCCCAGCCTGATCACAGCACTGGGGAGGGAAACTGAGCCCCAGTTCAATTCCCTTCCCTTGCACTGTGATCAGCTTCTCGCAGTCTGGCTGCGGGAGGCGGGGAGAACCAGGGCTGCGCTCCGGGCTGAGCCACGTGGGGCTGCAAAGCTGCTGGGAGTACAGCCCTGGTTCTCCCGTCAGCCACCACCTGGCTGCTTCAAAACTTGAAATGTTTTGACTAGTCTTGTTTTGTTTCAAGGCTGTTTCAAAGCCCTTTGTTTCAATATGATTTTGCTGTTTCAAGCTCGAAATGAGTTGAAACAGTATTGAATTGAAACAGCCAGCAAAATTTTGCATAGCCCTATCAGCTAAGCTTCCTAGTTTATGTTAAAAGCTGGCTGCCCTGTTCCTTCCTGTGGGATCTCACTGGGATGAAGAAACAAGTGCTAGAAGACAGAAAGACAATTGGTGCCATCCTGGGGAGTCCAGACATGGGTTCTTTTCCCAGGAGGTATTTGGTGCAACTGCTCTCCACTATGGTGACTTTGGGCTGATGGTGGTCAGGTTGTGACCTCTATGCTGACCAGCTAGTCGTCCATTTGGAAACCATTCAGATGGCTGAGGCTAATCAGAAGCCTGCCTGTCACGGGCTCACAGGCTTTGACTGTGCACTTGTTCCATTTCCCAGGCCAAAACTAGTGACAAATCATATACTAATACCTTCATTCTACTGAAAAAAGAAAAATCATTTTGCACCAACTCCATCTAAAGCAGTGAGATGCAGTTTCACTCAACACAGCGAGCTGCCAGATAAATGGACTGCAGCACACATTGCTGAGTTGCATTATCTGAGAAACAATTTTAGTCAGTTTTGATTCTATCCTGAGGGATCAACTCATGCGTGGGGTTTGAGATGAAGCCCTACAAACACACAAAATAAAACACAACATAGCGCTGCTCAAGAGGCACTTGCTCACAAGGCTGTTCAAAACAAGACCTAAGCATCTATAAAAAATAGATTACAGACTCACCATGTGTGATCCAAAAGGAATTCTCCAAAGAAGCCCCCAACAGCTCACAAGAATATAAATTCTTCATCCTAGGGAAGTTCCTATAGTTGTGGAGGGAGTCATAGACATGACATGCAATTTCCATGATGCTGAATGTTATCATCCCAAGTGGAAGGGTCATAGTGAAGTGAACGTGTGTCATCACAAGTTCAAGCTGTCTAGAAATAAGGCATCCAAGGATACACCTCTGACTACCACAAATACTGCTGCTGATCAAATGAACTTTCAGCATGTTGAAAGCTGAATATTCACAGCCCCTTACCACATTCACAGCATCAAAGAGGCGCTGGGGAGGGACATGCTCTGTTATGAAGGAGCATTTCTCCTGCAGCAGCATCACTGACTTCAGCCCCTCCGCAGTGCAGTCAGCCACGATCCAGCCACAATCCCGGGTGCTAAAGGGAAATCCGCCCTGCAGAGAATCAGATCCCATCAGCTCTAAATTGGCAATCATGCTTTCTCAGCCATGTTCTGCCTCTGCAAAGGGGGAGATGTGACTTTCTTGCCCAGCTTCTACCTCAATTACAACTGTGCTTGCGCTCAAGACCTGAGGAGAAATAGTCTTTCTAGCACACATTAGCCTCTATGGGCACCTATACACATGCAATAAGGCTGCGCTGATGTGCTATAATTACAGTGCATTGGAGCATAGTAATTACTGCACTCCAGCATCATGTGCATCAGCGTCCCTGTACTGAAAAATGGCAGCATGGGTGCTTTAACTAAAGCTAGTTCAACAAGTTTTAGTTACGATGCCCCTGCCATTTTTCAGTGCAGGAATGCTGATACACGTGATGCTCCAGGAACTTTAATTAGAGTGGTTCCAAGAGCCGCTCTAACTAAAGCACCGCCCCCTCCATGCCCTCCTCCCAGACCACGTCTATAAATGCCCTTTGTAGCTACCAGAAGCTGTGAAGCTAGGAAAATCCCTCATAGACAGAGGGATAAAAAATTATTGGGGAGGGGAAGGCCTGAGTGTGTGTACACATGCATGCATGCACTCCCCCAGCAGGTAAGTCTGTGGGGAAACTGGGGGCAGATCAAGGCCCCAGTGGTGAGGGAGGAAGTGGGCACAGGCAGGAGAAGGGGCTGGGGTGAGTGGGGCCCCGGCCAGGCCAGGTGGCGGGACAAAGAGAGCCCTGGGGGCATGTGCCTCCCTACCCAATCTGTTCATGGGACAGAGGTGGCTGCCACTGCGCATTGGGCTTTGTTCCCTGCTGCAGTGAGGGAGGGAGCGGGGCAAGGGCAGGCCCTGCAGAGCCAAGGCAGGGCACGGGACAAGAGCCGTGGGCAGGTTGTCTGGGGGGCGCATGGAGGGAGTGGCAGCTCCCACTGGGAAGGTATGGAGGGGCATATGCCCCAGATCTGCATGCAGGGCAAGGACGGGCTGCCGCTGTGGGATGGGACCAGGTTGGCAGCGGGCTCTACCCAACAGGGTGGGGTTGGGCCATGCTGTGCTTGGGGCGCACAGTGGCCCTAGGAAGGGGAGTTCGGTGTGCTATGGCAAATTTTGGGGTGGCCCCCTCCAATAACTCTCCTTCCAACACCACTGCCACCCAGCCTGAGCACAGCCCGGCCCAGCCCCCCTACCAGGAAGAGCCCAGCACAGCCCTGGCCCCAGCCCAGTGACAGCTCACCCCGCCCCACACAGATTCGGTGGCACACACCCTCCCATGCCTCCTGGGGTGCACATAGCAGCAGGAGCCGTGCCCCCTGGACAAGCCACTTGCAGCTCCATCCCATGCCCTCCCCTGGCTGTGCAGCAACTGCCCCAGCCCCAATCCCACTCCCTCCCTCACCACTGCGTGCACCCTTCCCCCCCCCCACTGCAGCCACTGGAAGCCTGTGGCCGGGCCACCTTGCGGCCCTTCCCACTGCCCCGCATTTGGGGGAGCTAAGCCCTGT